AATGCTCCCTGAGAAACATGCCATGCCTCAGCAAGATGTATTGTTGTACCCGTCTCGCAAAACCCCCAGAGACCACCAAGGAGTCAGTTTCCAATGCAAGCACATAAAGGTCCTTTCATTCATCTGGGCCACTGCATGGCAGATGGAAGGAAATGTGGCGGCCAGGAGCCCAGGTGTAGAGAGTTTTTATAGGGAAAAACCACAAGCCGGGAACTGGCAACTTGGGATTGGGTAGAAGGGATATGGCTCAAGGTGATTTTTTTTTAAACTATTGGTCTAGACTTTGAGCACAAAACCACATTTGAAACCATTGGGTTAGACTTTTGGCGGGGAACCACAACCAGCTGAACAGGATTATCTGGACTGTTCAGCAGGATTATCTAGATCTCTTCAAGGGCCACATTCCTGAAGTCCTTCCTGGAACTGAGTACAGGTGGTCTGAGATGGTGGCCTGTTCCCTAAGGTAGAGCCTGTAAAGTCAAGTCTAGGCCCTCACGGTATTAGAAAGAGGTTTCCCCTATGTGATAAATGAACTCATGACAGGCATTCGGGGGCTGGGCTTTGGGACTTGAACAGTTAACTTTTGTGTTGCCCTCTATACGCAAAATGACCTGGAGCAAGTCTTACACTTCTGGATTAGTTTCTGTCTGTCAGTTGGAGGTTTTCACAAAGAATAAATTACAAGCTTTGTGAAATACAAAGTAGGAAGGTGGAAGCCCTGTTGCCATGGGCTCTCCTGCCCGGGTCCTCCTCTGCCGGGCTGCCCCTCCAACACAGTTTTGAACCCCATTTGCTCCTGGAGGCTTGGAGACCCTGAACAGCTCACCTGGAGCTGCAACAGAGCTGAAAAAACACTGCACCTAAATCCTCCAGGATAGCTGCTGGCTGTGCTGGCTTCCTGGGGCATAGTCAGCCTCCAGTCACTGCCCTGCTGGGCCTGCCTTTACCCCTTGAGTGCAGGCCAATCTGAGGCCAGTGAGCTTACCACCTAGCAAGTAGCAGTCGCTGCTCACAGGTCTCAGCAGAGCCTCCTCTGGATGCCTCTCCTTCCATAGGGTGTACCAACAGCTTTGGGGTCTGTACCCTCTTGTTTAGCTTGTTTCGACTCTCCTATCTCCACAGAGATACTCTGAGGGCTCCTGAAGGGAATTTGTGTGTGAGAACTTCTAGGGTGGCTTTTGACTCCTGGGAATGTCTTAGGACTGGGGTTCCTGCTGCTTGCTGTTGGGAATCCAAATGCCTGAGACTGTTTTCTGAGTCCTCCATGCCCCCCTCCCAGAGGTAGCCAAGTCGGTTCATTAATTCTGAAAACACCAGTCCCAGCCCTTTCCTTGTGCCATTGGTGCAAATATATTCAAATGATCATTCAAATGATTTAACAGGCAAAGGGTCAGCCTTCCCGGAGTAAATCCCGTTTCTAATGTGCCCATCTGAGTGATTTCATTAGGGTGCAATGTTAAAGAGAAGTGTATACTGCTGCATAACTTATACAAATGTATGCAAATGAAGTGCTTGAAAGAGCCCTCGTGGAATTCCTTGGAGATTCCCCAGCATTCCACTGCTGCCCGTGGATCAGCTGTTATCATCACAAAGAGCAGCCGCTCCCAGCAGGGACAGGAGGGTTAGAGAGGCTAAGATTTGGGGAGGGGAGAGCGACAGCGACACCCAGGAAGCCCTTCCAGTTCTGAAGAGCAGTGCCTGCCCCAGGCTGGCTGTTCAATCAACCTCCCCCACAGAGCTGGTTTTGCAGCAGTCTGCCTGGTGCTCGGAATACAAATCAGCCCTAAACTTTTGAACCCTTTTGGTAGGAAGAGGAAAAAAAAAATCTTCACGAGAAACAGCCAGATGCAGATACAGTCATAGGATGAGTTTATTTTCAGGGAGCGAGGTAGGGACACCAGAGCTTCTGTTTGGATCTTCTAGGGGGCTGCCCTGGCCCAGGACTGACTGTCTTAGGTTGAGTGCTGGGTAAATCAGGATAGTGCCATCGTGCCTGCTATCTTTCTGAGGAAAACCCCAAGGTCATGGCCTTATTGGATTTTATGGGTGCGCATAAATATATATGTGCAATATATATAGTGTATATATGTGTGTATATATACATATATATATATATTTATAAATGTATTTATTTTGCAGTGGATGAACCCAGAGCCTTGTATGTGTTCAGTAAGTGCTGCACTAATATTGACAGATATTGGGGTTCAAAGGGCACCGGTCAGGATTTGGAGGCACTTGTGCTCTCCAACAAGGAATTGGACAGGGTCATACAGATAGTGGCAAGTGAAACAATAGAATGTATTGCGGACACACACACTTCCAAGGGAGGAAGTGGGATGGAGCAGGGGTGAAAGGTACCCATGCAGAAAGGATTGGGACTTTCATGGGTCGTTTGTGCAATGTGCTCTTTCTTCTGTGTGTTCTGCATGCGGCATGTCCAAGGTGTGTGTGTGTGTGTGTGTGTGTGTGTGTGTGTGTGTGTGTGTGTGTGTGTGTGTGTGTGTATGTGGAGGAGCGTGTTCCAGTCTTTGTATGTGCCAGCATGTTTTTTTTTTTTTTTTTTGCAGGGCGGGGATGATAATTTTGTAGGCTTTGCACAAAGACTCTCAGGGTCCATCCTCCTGACCCGTTGCCACTGAGCTGCATAGGTCTCACTGTGTAGCCTAGGACTTCCTTGAACTTGAGATCTCATCCTCCCCAGCCTCTCTAGAGCTAGAATGATGGGAGTGTGCATGCCACCACCCCTGACGGGTAAAAAGACTTTAACATCATCAAGTCACAAAGAGCTCCAAAAGGGACCACCCTCCTCTCTCTCCTTCCAGGACATAAGGGATGGTCTGCACCTGTCTGCACAGAACCAGGTGGTAGAGCTGGCAGAGGCACTTAATGAGTGGGGGACAGAAGGTCTGTGGGCCACTGGTTCAGTCCTCTCAGTCACTCAGTTTTGAATCTCACTGTGTAGACCAGGGTAGCCTCAAACTCATATTAGCCCATCTACCTCTGCATCCCGAGTGCTGGGATTAAAGTCTGCACCACCAAGCTCCAGTTCTGTTGCTCTGGAAGGTCATATCCAAGGTGAAGGTCACCTGTTGCCTTTGGTGCCTCATCCACCCTAATCACCTAGAGACTCTGAGCCTTAACCTCGGGTCAGCTATTTGTGGGGCCGATTTTTGATTCAGAACATTGGGGTGCAGAACCAGAGTGGTTGCCATCTTGGACATAGCCCTTATTACCAGCACTTGTCAGCAGTCCTGCTACATCGTGAGCTGGGTGGAAGGCAGGACATGGATGGGATATGGCAATGGAGAGGGCCCAAGGAAGTAAGGCTCATTCTTTTGAAAGGAAGCAATATCTTTGGGTGTATTAGGCTCTCTTCTCCTATACACAGGGCATGCCTTGGGCTCCCAATTACCCATAAGCCTTCAGTTTAGCTGACATCCCAGCCTCCTTCTGTACTTCAAGGACATAAAGTAACCATGGTAGTCAATGAGAACTGTTAGTTGCCTATACCTGTGTAGACATACCTTGTGGGTGTGCCATGTACGGGAGGGAGAAGGCGGTAGGTAGATATGGTTCAGCCAGTTACAACCACCTCCCAGAGGGGTCTTGAGGACACCAGTCCTCTAGGAAATGACTCAGCTGGAGATGATTTCAAAATGACTCAGGAGACACCACTCTGACATCTGGGGAGCTAGACTTGGCAACTGCCAACAAAGATGCACTGGTGTGTGTCAGACACGTGACCTGAGCCACCCAGAGTCAGAGAGTGGAGACCTGCTAAGTGACAGGGGCACCTGGCCTTGTAAGGTAGAGAAATGTCCCTGGGTTAGGCTCTTCCACCAGTGAAACATTCTTTAAAACTGCTAACTTTCATAGTAGAGAGCATGCAGGCAAGGGGTGGTGGTGGCAGATAGCAGTCTCCTGGGAGGAAGTCCCTTGTCTGGTCAACATGGCTCCTCTGGCCCTTCATAAAAGAAGAGTCATAGACTCACAAGGCAGGTGACTGGAGCTTCTGGAAGATTGGGGCTCTTCAGACATGAAGTATGAGGCACAGGTGAGCCTTCATCTGCAGAGAGGTGGGTTTCAGGGAAGGAGCAGCATTTGGAAATATTTGGCAAGCAGGACAGTGAGGGTTGGAGGGCAGCCTGGAGACCCTGTTACCTCACTGTAATCCCCCCAACAGCCCCAGAAAGTAGGCTGAGGTGGGTGCTATTGCTGCTCTGTCTGTCAGATGAGCTGGCAGTTTTGGGGATACACAGTCCCATTTTGCAGAGCTTGGGTGGGAGTGATCTGGAGATCAGTCCCTCCTCCTCCTCTTCTTCACCTCTCCTGTGTATCATCTTCCTGTAGCACCAAGCAGGCTCCATTCCCTTGTTCAGTGTCATTTCCAGAAATAGAGGCTCTGTGGGTGGACCCAACCATCTAGTGAAAGGTGGCTTTCTGTCTGGGTTGCTGGTGACATGCTGGAGTCTCTGTGGAGTCTAGATTTAAGGTCTACAAGTGATGGGACAATTTAAGAGACCCCAAGTCTAGTTCATATTGAGCTTTCAAGTCATTATGGATCCTGACAAAAGCCTGCTGCGTACATTTCAGGAACTGTGGTCATATGCATATAGTACAGGTGATCCCTCCCTGACTCTACAGAGCTGTGGCAGCAGCCAGGAGTCACATGTTGTGAGTGTGTCTGATGCCTGGAAGTCCCAGGAACTAGACAGAGGCTGTGTGACTGTAGACCCGACAGGTCAGGAGGTTTGTGCTGAAGTGGATGATTAGCACCATATGATGGCTAATCCTGGTTGTCAACTTGACTGTGTGATCAACTAAAACTCAAGCTGCCAGCCATCCCTGTGAGGGACTTCCTTAATCAGATTATTAAAACAGGAAGATCTACCCAAAGTCTGACCACACCTTCTGGACACTGACGTAGGCAACTTTGTTTTTTGCCTCCCTGCCCTTCCTCTTGCCACCTGGTTCATCTATTGTGCTGCTGTCTGTACAAGATCTAACATCTTCAGGATTCCAATGTAGAATGAAGACCAGCAGCTGTTTAGGGGTCCCAGGACCCCAGCACCAGATTGGGTAAGACATCTAAAGTCATGGGCTAAAAGCCTGTGGTTAGAAATATTTAAAGAGCTTACTGTGGGGAAGAAGAAATTTAGCGACCATGTATAAAACTTTTGACGATTTATGGATAAATAAGGAAGATAACAATGTTGGATGCTCCTAGAAGCTCTAAAAGGACAATGGAAAAGCATGAGCTCAATAAAAAACTAATTGGCTCCCAATGTACCTAAATAGTCTACGGGCTTGTAAGTGTGCCCTGGAAGAGAATCTTCCTCTCCAGCAGCCACAGAACTCAAGTTGCAGAAAATCAAACCTAATCCCTCATTATAATGTTGGCTAACCCACAGTCAAAGTTCAAGCCCCAGCCTCCGAGGATGTCAGGGGGTAAAGTAAGGGCACAGGTTGGTTTTTAAAAAAAGGAGCCTTTAACTTGGAGTGGAGATGTGTGGCTGAGGACTCTGAACCTTCAAATTCTGAAGGGTTTGTCTCACCTGAGGATGTAGTCTCCCCTAGTTAGCACCAGGGACAGACTCACTGCTACGAGCCTTACAAACAGACCAAACTACACAACTGTCACACACATACAGAGCGCCAAGGTCGGTCCCATGCAGGCTCCCTAACTGTTGGTCCAGAGTCCATGAGCTCCCAGGAGCTCAGGTTGGTTGTCTCTGTGGGTTCCCCCATCATGACCTTGACCCCCTTGGCTCATACAATTCCTCCTCCTGTTCTTCAGCAAGACTCCAGTGCCTGGCTGTGGATCTCTGTATCTGCTCCATCAGTTACTGGATAAAGGCTCTCTGATGACAATTAACGTAGTCACCAGTCTGATTATAGTAGATGGCCAGTTCAGGCACCCTCTCCACTACTGCTAGGAGTCTTAGCTGGGGTCATCCTTGTGGATTCCTGGGGGTTTCCCTGGCACCAGGTTTTCCCCTAACCCCTGAAATGCCCCTCCCATCAAGATGTCTCTTTCTGCCCTGCCCCCAGCCTGCCTCCCCAGCCCAGCCTGCCCAACCGTTTGTAACTTGGGCTCATATGTGCTGCTGATCTGGTACAAGGCTCCTCACCAGCTCCCTCCATATGGCACAGCAGGGAACCAGGTCTAGCCTGGAGTTATAAGTTACCACACCAATGGGGAGGTGAGGAGCGCTGATAACTGAAGTAGGTAGGCATTCTCCTGAATCTTTTCAATCCTCCACTGGTAAAAATGGCAGAAGAGGTGGACTGACAGAGTAGTTGCCTTGTGTCAGTGAGGATGTGTGGCTGACACAGCAGGGCCAGCCTAATGCATCTGTACTTTGGGAAGGAGAGGGCTGAGCTGTCAAGCTACACCATCTCCACACAAGGCTTCCCACTTTCTCCACAGCCTCTGATTCCTGAAGACCCAACCAGGGCCACAGCAGGTGTCCTCGGGTGGCGCTCTGAGGACATCCACCTCACGGTGGTGCTGAAGGATGAAGAGTCTCCTTGGGGTTCCTATTCCAGTGCTGCCGAAGTGGAACTTGGCACAGCAGTTGACTGCCAAAGACACAAAGCAAGGGAAGGCAGAGCCAGGGCCCAGTCTGCTCCAACTCTCTGATACCTGACACTTCTATTCACAGGGGCACAAGCCTGTGGCAGCCTCCAAGAAGTCACCACTGTGGGACAGCCAGGAAAACACAAATAAGATGTGTGTTGCTCAGAGTGTCCAGAGCATGCCTGCAAAGGGTATTTTGAGATTATTTCCTCCTCTTTCCTTTTCCTTTTCCTTCCTTCCTTCCTTCCTTCCTTCCTTCCTTCCTTCCTTCCTTCCTTCCTTCCTTCCTTTCCTTCCTTCCTTCTTTCTTTCTTTCTTTCTTTCTTTCTTTCTTTCTTTCTTTCTTTCTTTCTTTCTTTCTTTCTTTCTTTCTTTTTATTTATTTTTGGATGGTGGTGGTACTTTTTGATTTTTGGGAAAAGTTTTCATGGAGTTCCATCAGGCCTTGGACTCACTGTGTAACCATTCTAGTTTGCTTTGGGTTGCTCTAATAAACACCATGACCAAAATTCATGTAGGAGAGGGAAGAGTTTATTTCATCTCACACTTCGAGGTCATGGTCCATCACTGAGAAAGCTAGGGCAGGAACTCAAGCGGAAACCATGGAGGAACACTGCTTTCACTTTGACCCCAGGTTCCTGTTTAGCTGGTTTTCTTATTATACAGCCCAGGAACACTGGTCTAGGGATGGTGCCGCCCACAATAGGCTGGACCCTCCAATATCAATTGACAAGACGATCACAGCAATGCTCATAGGCTGATCCTGCAATTAAGACTCCCCCAGTGACATTGGGCCACGTTAAGTTGACAGCTGAAACTAACCAGGACAGTAGCCAAGGATGACCTTGGGTTCTGATATTCTTGCTTCTACCTCATGAGTACAAGGACTACAGACAGGTGTTCCCACCATGCCTGTTTTATGTAGTGCTGGATATGGAACCCAGGACTTCATGTTTGCTAGGCAGGTCCTCTACCAGCTGAGCTACAGGCCCAGTCTTTCTATTTCTTTTGATTATAAAATATTTTGTTTCATGGAATGGTAATGATGGTGGGTATAATTTTTGGATGCCCTCATTTAGTGATCAAATTATTCCCCTCCCTCCCATCTGTATCTCTCTCCAGCTGGTGATCAGACCCAGTGCCTTGTACATTCTAAGCAAAGCACTTGACCAGTGACCCACATCCCAGACATGCTTCTCATCTTAAAATGGAACCTGCATATTTAGCAAATATTTTCTGAGAGTCTGATGCATGCCAAGCAGAACTGTAGAAGAATCTGGTTTCCCTTCCCATTTACCTTTGGAGGTCCCATACTGCTCCCTGGGCCCACAGCCTGCTCACTACCGTCAGAACGAGGGTTCATGATGGGTTCTTGTAGCAATAGGGCTGAGCTGCTTCAGTATCTGGGTACAAAATATCCCATGGTCATGTAGAAATGCATAATTACCATTTGGGAAGACAAAAAGAGTTCCTAGGAATGGGAGAAGCTCTAGCTATCCAGTTGGTCTCAGGGGAGCTGGTAAACAACGTGACTATGTTTGGAGGGAGGGTAGACTCTGCTGCTGCCATGTGAGGCATCATAGTCACCAATATTGATCCTCCCAGGGGCACCTTGTTCATCCTGTGGGGTCCCATCATTCTTGTTGTGGGGGTGGGGCTAACTCCCTCTAGAGGTGGAGTCCTGTCTTCACTCCAGGTTTCTGCAGTGGGCGACTCGGCAGACTCAGATCTCCGAAGCAGGTCAGGGGATTGAGAGAGAGGGCTTGGAAGAGGAGATGTTCAGTAAGAACCCACACTGGGCTTACCTCTCTGGTCTTCGGTTTTTGTAACATGGGTGAAGTAGCACAAGGTTCACTAGGAGAAGACAGCTTCTATAAAAGCACTTGGCACCATAAACCCATCTTTAGCTTGCTAGGAGTCCATGTGAGTGTGTGGGCTGGCAGCTGAGGATGACCCTTCTATCACATGGTTATGCTGGCCCAAGGACCCATGAGGCCTCTGCTTGTGGGTGGAAAGAGAAGGAACATGAGAAGAAGTCCCACCCACTCTTCAAGAGCCTTGCCAGGAACTGACACACATCATCTCTGTTCACTTCCATTCCCAGAAATGAATCATGCAGCTCCATGCGGAACAAGGGGACTAGGAGATTGTCCCAGATGTCAGCAACCCACAGCCAACAGTATCAGTTCTGTGTCGTGTTGCAGAAGACACAGGGCTCTGGTGCAGAGATGATCTCTCTGCCACATGACACATATGTCATAGCTTACAGGGTGGTTATGAAGCTCAGTGGAGGGTGCAGAGAGCTCAGGGTGAATGCTGCTACCTAGAAAGCACTGACTCTGCCTCCATCATGACCTTGTGCAGGTCTCAGAAACAAATCCCCTGATCTCCAATTGCAGTGTCTGCCTGTGTGACAATGGGGATGGGGATTGTTACAGATACTTGAGGGTTAATAACAGCACAGGGAATGAATGCCCATAAAACAGATACCCAGCCAATAGTCTTGCTCTTGACTTAGAGTAATGGCTGTGGGAATTGGCAACACCTGAGCTCTTTGTCCTCTGGAACCAGGACAGTGGGGAGAGTCTGAAGCCCACTTTCCCCCTCTGATTACTAGTGGTATCCTCTAACTAGCTCACTCTGATGTGAGAACAATGGGGATTTACACTGTGTTCCTACAGATATGGGAGGGACACTATGCTTGCACTTTCACTAACATGGCAAAGGTGTTTAGGACTCAGTGCTGTGGTTTCTCCCTTGGATCTAGGGAAAGCACCCTCCTCATGCTGGTGAACATGCCATTCTGCGAATGGAGTTCATTGTGAATGCACAAGGCAGAGTGTAAACAGAGCCAGGCTTTGCCTCCTTCAATACAAGCAGGTCCCTTGTGGGAACATGGGATCCTCGCTAATCCATGTGGAGGTGTTGATGAGAATGCTAATAAGGGCTCCTGTGAGGAGATGCTCACTCCCTCTGTCTACATCCTCTTCAGAAATGCCACTGGCGTCCCCACGTATCTATCCACAGTGGGCCCTCTGATCCACTGCAGTGAGTGAGATCCAGGTCTAGAGAAGTCTCCCCACTTACAATTTTGCTAACCACAAGGCTGTACAATGTATGACTAAAAATGACTGAACAAATAGAAATTCCCGGTGCCCCCCGGAACACATGAGGCTGAACAAGACAGTGCCCTGAGATCAGGCTCCTACTGGCTGCTTTGACGGACTCCATGGTCCAGGGCCCCAGGCTTAATTCTCCTAGAGATACATAGTAGACCAGGTCAGGCTATACACTTTTTGGATTTGGGTTAATTGAGTGTGGTTTTCAGATAGTGAAGTCCAGTATTTAAAGTGTGATAACATGTAGCTGTGTATCCACTTCCACCATCATTCTAGATAGAACATTCCAACCTCCCAAATTGGATTTGAGCCCCTTCATGGGCAGCTGACATGCCCTGGCCCTGGTGGGAGCTGATCTGTGTTCCTTTGTTATACAGGATTATCCTATAAGCCAAACAGCCACCATTTTTATGAGTTCAGCTATGCTCACTTGCAAAAGATCATCCTAGCCAGGCTCGTTGACTAATCATGTTTCCTCATTGCTCACCAAAAGATAGCCAGAGGAGGTTATAGAACCCTCACCCAGTATCCAGAAATTCCCCTAAACAGATCTATGCATTTGTATTCCAATTGCAGGTGGCCTCAGGGAGGGGCTAGAAGTATATAGTTTGGAAGGACTAGGGAGGAGGCCTCCATCTCTGTGGCCATGGGGGAGCTATCATCCTCACTGGGTGCAGATCTTTCAGGGTGACTGTTTCTGTGGGCCCCTCACTCACTACTCTGTAAGGAAGCCCAATAAACTCATTTGTCCCTCAGAGTGCATTTTGGTGGAATCATACCTCTATTTGTCATTGAGACCGTAGAAAGAGGGGTAGACATTGTTTATATCTCCCCTGGGGGAAGGAACTTGAGCAACAGCCCTGCAGTGTGGGTCTTCCAGAATACTGTGTGGGTCCTGCAGCACATATTTCCTATGTGTGTGTGTGCGCGTGTGTGTGTGCGCGCGCGTGCGTGCTTGTGTGTATGTGTGTGTGTGTATGTATGTGTGAGGTCACCTTGTGTATCAGAGGGCTGCTCCTCCAGGCACTGACTGCCATTCCCTATCACTCACAGGCCGTGTTTTTCCTTTTACCGGTTCCTGTTCATTTGGGTTTAATGTTGCTCTCTCCCATACTCTGGTGCCTGGATCCCTTTTCCTGCCCCATGGAGCTGTTCTAATGATAGGGGGAGGGGGTTGATGAACACGACATGTGGCATAAGTACACGGATGGCAGACAGGAGTGTAGCACACCCCTCAGGCATAAATGTGCCATGGTAGGGACGCTCAGTCATCGCCCAGCCTTGCCTGCACCTGCTGCACTGTGTGATCAGGGGCAAGTTACCCAACCTCTCATGCCTCACTGTCTTCCTCTGCAAATGACGATGTGACGGTACCTACCATGGAGACCGGACTGTCACTCCCTGAAAGCTCTGGCTAGCAGGCATTCTCGGTAAGCGTTTGGGAAGGTGGTGCTTGCTCAAACCTTCCTTTGTGTGGAGTCAGGATGCAGCAAACACTGACAACTTCACTTCCACTCCTGTCGTCTGTCTCGGGGAGACTTGCTGTATTGAGGTGTCATCCTGATCCCTGGGTAGGAACTGATACGGCTTCTGTCAGCGGGGAGAGCTGGAGTCTGATAGGAAGGGCTTGGGAAGACACCGTGATTGGCCGCTGTTGCCCTTCTGAATTCATTGATCACTTCTCTCAGCTTGGACCTGAGGATCCAAGTTCTGCAATCAGTGATAAGATGCCCGGTGTCCCTTCTCACAACCAGTAAGATACGCAATGGATTCTCGGAGTCACCAGCCCTGTGGGGATCATCTTTAGAGACGGGGTGATGGACGTGGGGCAGCCTGGGAAAACCCTGGCTCAAAATGGCTTTGCTCACATAAGCATGGTGTTTTCGTTTTAGAAAGGTCAGGCTGAATACTGACTCCCCTGACAAGACAGTCACTCCCAAACCAACTAGAGAAGCTTAGTCTGTTCTGTGTGGGGAGAACCATGGCTCACACAAACCGTCTGAGGGATGGCACAAAATCATCATGATCCTGATATGCACCCACGTGCCCTACCTCAGAGCCTCTTCCTGCCTCTTCCACTAAACAATAACCAGGAAGGATGTTTCTCAAAGCTTCCAGACACCTAGTGTCTGTGTGGCAGGATTACTAGAAAATGCTGCAAGATTCTGGGGTTGTACAGAGGCCACCCTGTGAGCACTTTTCAGGTCAGAGGGGATCCTTTCTAGTGCATCTAGAGCAGCACCTTGGCAATGGCTACTGCTGTGGTTTGAATAAGAATGGCTTCCATAGGCCCATAAATTTGAATGTTTGGTCACAGGGAGTGGCATTCTTTGAAAGTGTCAGGTGTAGTAGCCTGTTGGAGAAAGTGTGTCACTGAGGATGGGCTTTGAGGTTTCAAAGGCCCATGACAAGGCTGGCGTCTCTCTCTTGGCCAGTGAATCAGGATATAGCTCTCAGCTATTTCTATAATGCCCCTGCTGCCTGGGTGCTGCCGTCCTTCCTTGCCATGATGTTGATAAATTAAACCTCTGAAACTGTAAGCAAGCCCCAATTAAGTGCTTTCTTTTATAAGAGTTGCCTTGGTCATGGTGTCTCTTCATAGAATAGAACACCAACTAAGACAGCTGTAGACCCTCAGAATAGCATGGAAGGGTGAGGGAGGGACTGTGGGGCCCACTCTTGGGTCTTGAAAGACACAAGGGGCTGGACCAGCAAAGGCATCTGTCATGCTGGCCTTAACTTTCACTGTGTCTCATCTTGGCTTGTCTAAGATGGGCCAAGAACATAGGTCAGCCCTGTTACATGAGGAGCCGTGGTGGCTCTTCCTGCTGATGGGGACTCTCACCACCAGATGGTCACAGAACCCTCACAGATGAGGTTCTCATCTGTAACGTGCAGAAAAGTAGGCTGTCCCTGCAAGCACTCTCTGTGGGAAGCCACACAGAACATCTGCCTGCTCCATGGAGGGCCAGTATCCTGATGGCTGCAACAGTACACTGGGGCTCCACTGGACTGTTTTCAGTCTTTTGTGACAGCTGGGGACTTCTTGTTCCTGTGGGCATGTGAACACTTGGCATTCTCCTGGAGGCCAAGCTACTGTTGGTGGCCTTTTCAAGTCATGGTTATTGTGTAAAGCCTTACCCAAGTCAGTAGCATGCCAGGAGCAATGGCACCTCCCTTGTAGGACTGCTGGGGATGAAGTGAGACAACATGAAGAAGTGGTTGGTGCAACACCTGGTATGCAGCTGTGTAGCTGAAGCTTTCCTGTGTCCCACCTGGCCCATGGTCAAGACAAATCTCTCCCACCCACCCATCCTGCAGCCGCTCAGACCCAAATAAACACACACAGGCTAATACTATTTTTAAATTATGGCCACGGCAGGCTCCTTGCTATCTAACTCTTATATCTTAAGTTAACCCATTTCTATTAATCTGTAAGTTGCCACGTGGCCGAGGCTTACCGGTCTGCCAGCATGTTGTTCCTTTGGTGGCGTCTGGCATCTGCCTTGCCTCTCCTTTCTCTTCCTGTCTATCTGGTTTTTTTTGTTTTTTGTTTTTTTTTGGGTTTTTCGAGACAGAGTTTCTCTGTGTTAACAGTCCTGGCTGTCCTTTGTAGACCAGGCTGGCCTCGAACTCACAAAGATCCACCTGCCTCTGCCTCCCAAGTGTTGGGATTAAAGGCGTGCACCACCATGCCCGGCAAGGCTCTTCCTGTCTATCTGTTTGGATTTTCTGCCTGCCTCTAAGCTGCCCTACCATTGGCCAAATGGCTTTATTTATCAACCAATCAGAGCAACATATTTTCACAGCCTACAGAAAGACATTTCCTCATCACTTCCCCTTTTCTGTCTAAACAAAAGGAAGGTTTTAACTTTGACCTCACAGAGGTCAAGGTTTTCTGATACAGAAAAGCCCTTTGTTCTAATTACATGCTCTGCAACCCACCTGTCCTCCAGCGGCTTGCATTTGGGTACCCAAGGACCCAGGAGTATGGTGCTCGTTTGTTTATCTCACTGACTCCCCCATGTGGCTTTGATCAGTGACTCTCCCTAGACCCCGGGTACCCTGTCTATAGAATTCAAGAGAGAGATGGTGAAGTCAGGTTTCTGCCGTCAGATGGTCCCGAGGTCTGTCATTATCCAGGTAATTCCATCGTGTGGGGGATTCCTTGACTATGGATAGGGAGGTTGTCTGTGTCTCCCTAAACATGACTCAGAGCAGCAGCTCTGCTACTGTATGGGCATGCCCGACCTGAGTTCCCACCAGGCAAGGGAAAAGATACCAAATTCCAATTGCTTTGGACCAAAGAGAGAAATACACCCACCTGCCTGTGTGAGGATACTTTCCCTGGGAGCAGGGCTCCAGGTTTTCTTTTCCTGGTTGGCAGCTGAGGATGCTATCCTATTTCAAGGTGTGACTAATCAGGTGCCGAGGGCCTTGCCCCACCTTGGGAGCCCAGTGACCATCATCCCCTCCGGGGCCGTGAAAACACTGACTTGACTTTGCTATCTGCTTTTCTGAATTGTGGAATAATTCTTCACCAGCGTGTGGGTTAAACCAGAGCCTGTGGGCACCAGCCAGAGAGTTTTGATGGAAGCTTATCATGGGCTGCCAGCAACTCCATTTCTGACTAGGGCACTACTGTGGGATGTTCTGTATGTTAAATGTGTTGATCTGATTGGTTAATAAATAAAACACTGATTGGCCAGTAGCCAGGCAGGAAGTATAGATGGGACAAGGAGAGAGGAGAATTCTGGGAACAGGAAGGCTGAGTCAAGAGAGACACTGCCAGCCTCCACCATGACAAGCAAGATGTAAGGTACCAATAAGCCACGAGCCACGTGGCAACTTATAGACTAATAGAAATGGGTTAATTTAAAATAGAAGAACTAGATAACAAGAAGCCTGCTGCGGCCATACAGTTTGCAAGCAATATAAGTCTCTGTGTGTTTACTCAGTTGGGTCTAAGCAGATGTGGGACTGGTGGGTGAAAGAGATTTGTCCTGACCGTGGGCCAGGCAGGACCAGGAAAACTACATCTATAGGGCACCTTTGCTTCCCATGTAACCAAGAATACTTCTGTGTTTGGCTGACTTGGTGAGTGGCCAACATGGACAAGCCAACCTTCTGGCCTTCCTTGTTTTGGACATTCTCATCCTACCTGGGTGGCCACACAGTCAAAGCAGAGGAGACAAGCAGATGGTCCCCTGCCATTGGATGTGATGTACCATTTCTCTGAGGGTCAGAGCCCCCATTGCAGCTTGAGCTATTGTATCAAGGGGTGGCGAGCTTGTTCAACGTCTGCATGAGTCCTCTGTGGGGGCAACAGGGTGTGACCATAGAGTTCACTTTGTGGCTTTGGGGAGATGTAAAGGCATGGCTTCCAGAAGTTCCAGAAGTTCTCTGAGTCCTTTGGATCACCTTCTCTCCCAGGGAGAACAGGTTGAGTATGGTTCGCATACCTAATGGTCTATGGCTCTCAGTTCTCTTGACCTGGAAAATACAAGCAAGTCCCAATTTTACCAAGGAGAATGTCCATGGGAGGCATCCTGAGCTAGGGAATTGGGGAATCAGACCTTCTCATTTTTTTTTATTTAAAATTTGAGTTTCTTGTGAAATTCGCCATTATAATCACTGAAGGGCATCGGGTGGAAACGAATCGGGGGTTTACCAAAGGAGTCATGGCTGTGGATATAACCTCAGGGTTTATCAGCCAGAAATGATACTTCAGCCCACCAGGAAGAATGCAGAGGCAGGAGAGAGGGTCTGAGGATCCAGTGCTGCATTACATGTCAGAATCCCATTGAACAGATGAACTGCCTATTGATGTGATGCTGGATGCTTCTCCTTAGCGAGCTGGCAGCAAGTGGGCTTCCAGCTTGAAAAGGACTGAGAGGAGCTGGTGGGCTCTGAAGTCTACACACTGTGGAGATGAAGGGAAGAGAAGGCACCTTCTTCTCTTGGCCGCCAAGGGCTAGGCTCAAGGGTTCCTCAGCACCATGTCGCTGACTCATTTCCCTCTTGAGATGGAGTCCAGATCAGTATGCCCTTCTCTTCAGAGATGCCAACACTCTTCATCCTCTCTTTGGATAGCCCACTTTGCTGGCTGTGAGAGACCCTCCCACCCTCCCAGGAACTTCAGAGCCTCCTGTTTATGGCTCTCATGTTGCTTTAAAACTAAGTCTTTATCTGTGGGAGGAAATTGATGACTTATCCTTTGAACTTACAGACACATCATAAGAGGGATATGAAGAAGACAAAATCTAGAAAAGCCAGTGCTAGCCTTCTTTAGTTTTAAGACCAATTTTCAGAGCACCTTATTATATATGTTTACTGGGAAATGTTCAAACATTGTAGGGTTTGCTTTTAAGAAGGTAAAAGCAGCTGTCCTCAGCTGTGCAGTGAGGGGACACCATCACCATTGTTAGCCCTTTGTTCAGCTCCTCCTGTAGAACTTTTCTTGACATCAAGGTGTGCAAATAAGTTTGTGTGCATCACCTAAGCATTTCTTCAAGTAATTAAATACTTCAAAAAGCAGCATTTTTAAAGGTGGTATAATCACACATCAGATTGTACATCAAACCACATTTTATATAGAAAATCCCACATTCTTGGGCATCTCCCCGCTAACAAAGAATCAGCATTGGTTACCTGGTGGCCTCCGGCTTATTATGGTTTGACTTTTGATAGCATGAAAGTGAATATACATTAAGCAGAAACTATATGTATGAGTGTGTGTGTGTGTGTGTGTGTGACTGCATGTGTAAGCATGTGAGTTTGCAAGTACCTGTGTGTAAGAGCGTGTACGTGTGTGAGCCTGTGAATATATGTGAAAGTTGAGTATTCAAATGAGCAATTGTGAGTATATTACTGTGTAAGTGTGAGTACATGATTGTATGGGTATGTGAGTTCATGAATGTGCAAGTGAGAATGTATGTGAATGAGTGAGTGTAAGAATGATGTGTGAGTTTGCAAGTGTGTGGATGAGCAAGTTTGTGTAAGTATGCAATTGAGCAAGTATGAGTATGTGAGTGTGTGTGGGGGTGAGTGTTGGAGCATGCATGCATGCAAGTGGAGGCCAGAGTCCACCTTAGTGCTGTTTGTCAGGCATTCTCTACTTTGTCTGTCACTGGTCTGGAGCTCACCAGACAGAGCAGGCTGGCTGCCCAGCCAACCCAGGGCTCCACCTGTCTCTGCCTCTGCAGCACTGGGATCACAAGTGTGTGCCACCGTGCTTGGCTTCTCAAAGTGGGTTATTAGGATTGAATGTGAGTCTCACACTTGGACAGCAAGCATTTTAGAGACTGAGCCATTCCTCAGCTGGAAGGTGACTTTTAAAAATAAGTGTCTGCCAGACACTTTCATTCCTTTTTCTTCTTCCTCCTTTATCTTTCTTTCCTTAGAAGTTCACCCAGTATTATAGAAGTGAAGAATAAGACTGGAAACATATGTAGCTAATACATCTGGCTTTCTATACGTGAGAGTTTAATAGTGTTGTCACACCTCCTAGTAAAATGTAGTCTTTATTTACTTACTATTAACCAGAATAAATGCATGTACACATTAAATTGTTTAAGTGTGAAAGGCAGATGTCACTAGCTGGTGGTCAGCAGAAACGTGACAGTATACAATATACTGTCCAGGGCTGGGAGGTTATAGGTGAGCTACAGTATTGCTAATAAATTTCTTGGGTGCCTACTGTGTGCAGGTGATATTGTGGAGACATCTCTGGACCACTGCTAGTGCCTCTGTGGGTGTCATAATAGAAATACAGCAGCCCTCAGGGACCAAGAATGAGCCACTGGCATCCCAGAAGCTTTCAACAGAGGGTCACAGGTGAGTGATGGTACCTGTCTGTCTTACAATGCTCAGTCCCATGTTACAGTGAATGAGGGCAGTTTGGGGTCAGTTTAAGAGGCAACAGAGTCCTATCATGGCAGAGACACATGCTACTTGCAAAAGGGTGGGAGGAACATGGGGGAACGTGTCTGATGCTGGATACCGGGAAGGCCAGTACTCCAAGCATGTCTGAAGGAAACAATTAGCTCAAGAGGATATCCAGAGACCTGAGAATGGCCTGGAGTATGCCAGGAGGGCTGACACTTGCTCTCAGCACCTCCACATGTGTGTGGATAAGTGGGTCACCTCCTAAAAGACCAAGAGGCTGCATCAATTTCAGAGAAGTCACCATCAACATCTGGTCCCTGTGTAGGTGATTTTCACAGACACGTCTGGGAACTTTAAAAAAAATCCTATATGACAAACTGGCTGCTCATTAATAAATAGCCACCACAATGGCTGGTGGAGAAAATGCTTTGCTGTTTATTTTTGTCTTCCAAATAGTTTGGGCACAGATCTGGTTGTCATGGTGTCTGGGAAGTATAGAGAGACAGCATCCCTGTATCCATAGACAACACACAGTGCTGTGTTTGGGCTGGTGCACTGAGGTGGATGTGTCAGAGAGCAGAGACAGCCCCTCACAGATCTTATGGCTTGAAGATGACCTGAACCCCCCTCCCCAGGCTAATGTGTATGAACACTTGGTCTGCACACAGTGGCACTATTTGGGGAGGGCATGGAACCTTTAGGACAGGGGGCTTAGCCTGAGGAAGTGGGCTGCTGGGGATGGACCCTGGTTCCTCATTTGAACTCCTTCTCTTCTTGTACTATTGAGATGTGAGGAGGTGAGGTGTCATACCCGCAGGCTCTTGCCTCCTCTCCCGCTTGGTGGGCTGTATCTCTCAAAGCTGTGAGGAGCCAGAATGCACCTCTCCTCCCTGAAAGCCACTTCTTGTCAGGTGTTTGGTCACAGTGACTAGGAAAGTAACGAGCAAGGACACCTTGGCAGCATGAAGTTGATCTGAGTTTTTACAAAGTCTCGGGGTTAGTCAGGGGATGTGGCGTGGCATGTGCAAGGCCTTGGATTCCATCCCCAGCACAGCAAAAATGAAACTGACTAACTGCAAGTCTGGGACCCGACACTTGGTATCTGGGCAGTGAAAACTGCAAAAACGGCCACATGAAAGCAAGTTTGGGGTTTCTCAGAGATACCTCCACCTTCAGCAAGAGTTACAAGTGGGGGAGGATGAGCCTAGACATTTGGACTCCGGGTAACAGATAATGGAGAGGCAATTGACTCCACCAGAATGCTCAGGACCAAGTTCCTGGACTCCTACCACATTGGTCAGATTGACATGTGAGCCCTATGGCTTCCAGGGAGTCAATTCCACTGTGGTGCCATCAGCTGGGAACATGATTGAACAGGATCCATTCTTGGGGGAAGAGAGAAGCTTGTTTGGACTTGTGCAAGTTTCAGTGTTTGTAGGTTACCCAAGGGACCTGATACATCAGTGGCTTGGTCGGTTGCTCAGGGAGGCATCGTGACCTCAACTTCAGACTTGGTTATCTCGGACATAGCCAGGAGATGGCTCTCATCCCAAACACAGGTTAGGTCAGCTAGCAGGGCATGTGCAAGGCCCAGTCTGACCTGGACGGAGTTCAGTGTGGTAGCCAGAGAAAGGCAATTGTGACAATCACTGAATAACACAGCTGGACAATGAGTCCACTCCACTCACCAGGATCTTCCTCACTCTGCAGGGTTTGCTAAACACAGTCACATGCCAGCTACCCCTGGCTTAGGGTGATATTATGTTTTATAAATCAGGAAACTGAAGCACAAAAAAAATTTAGATTAAGTAGCCATTAGACAGCCAGGACAGAGGTAGCATCTCCCTCTTTTTCCTAGTCATCACTTTTCTCTCAAAAAGGTCTCTCTCTGTGGCTCAAGCTGGCCTTGATCTTTCTGCCTTAGCCTTCTGAGTGCTGGGGCACAGGCATCCCCTTTCTCCCTAAATTATGCGACAACCTTCTTGTCCTGAAGCCAGATTTTTAGGTGATTGACATGAGTTAGAATTCCCAGAATTTTTTTTCTAGTTGCTTGGAAAAATAGTGCCAGTATTGATCAGTTCTCAGAAATGGAAGGTAAGAACCTATTACTGAAGACATACCACCCACTTTGGACAAAGCAACTGAGCTGGAATTGACCTGGAAGCCTCCTTCTGGAGGACTAGCTTGCACAATACCAGAAGGAGCCATATAAGCTTCCAAGAAAGAAAAGGAGATCAATAGTTTTACCCAACTATAATGCTTATATACCACAACAAATACCCATAGCATCAAAGGTATACCAGTGGTACTTCTATCCCAGGGGTAACCAACAGCTGTCTAATTGTATTTAAAGTCCACTTGATAGGAGGGAATTCATGCTTGGTGTTGGAAACTTAATCCACTCCCTGTGGCTGGTGGGGTTATAACCTTAGAGGAGAATCTACCACTGCTACTTCTGTGAACTAGTATAACTGCTAACTCTGTTCTAAATACTGATCCTTGTGTCCATAAGCACAGTTCCCACTGCTCATCAAAGGGGCTTCTTTCTGCGGCAGATGGAGACCATCCTCGAAAGTCACGACTGGTCAAACCACAGAGAACAATTGACCCTGACCGTGAGGTACCCAGCACCACGTGACACATCTACAACACACCCTCTACATCGAAGGCTCAGGGAACTTTTTGGAACATAGGACAGAAAGACTGTAAGAGCCCAGGGACCAAGATGGGTGCTGGGAGGTAGTGTCTTCTACATATGTCAGAGAAGTTGTACCCATGAAGTCTCAACAATATGGCTAGCTAAGCAAGACTAGAAAAATGACACAACCAATTGACGTGTCAATGGGGTTGGAGGAAATGTCACAGGGCCCCCATCCCTGGATGCCTAGATAAAGAGCTGTAGATAATCGCTGCTGTGAGAGGAGGGACAATCAGTATTCTTCAGGACTGAGGCCCTTGATAGATTATCCAATCCCCTCTGGTCAGCACTAAACACATATGTACATATGAGTAATGCTAAATGAACTCAGTAGATTGTGTTTATTAATTTATATGTGAATATATATGTAACCATTGTAAATAATAAGAGATCATGAGTTTGAGAAGGAATTGGGGGACAGAGGAGGAGTTGGAGGGAAGAAAGGGGTGGAAATGATACAAATACAGAACTCATATATGAAATTCTAAAGAATAAATTTTAAAAAAGAATAAAAAATAGTGGCAATAGCATAGAAATTGTTTCGTGCAGGCATCTGGAGCAATATTGATGTTCAGAGAGTGCAGATTGAATGTGCCAGCAGGTAAGTATAGCCTATATTAGCAATAATGTGAATCATGTATTTAACATAATTGGAAATGCATTTTTCCCCGTGGAAGTGGGAAATAATGAGAATTTTCATAGTGGAGTCCTCATGCAAAGAGATGCATATAGACTTCTTGGGCTCCCGTGGTTTCAAAGTCATTGTCATGGCAAGCTTCAAGTGAAGGTGGCGGTTCCATGGGGAGTCGGAGGGTCTCAGAACCCAGATGGGCTTCCTCCTTATTGCTGATCCCAATGCTTTTAGCCTTTCTGAAGTTGTGCTTGAATAAAGCAATGTCTTTGGGATGTCTGCTCATGGCTGGAATGTTAGAGCTATGAAAGTTCCACCTTAAAGAGTGCCAGGAAGTCTGCCACAAGCTTCTCTCAGTCTGTCCTCCGTGTCTGGGGCTGACATCAGAAGCCATAGATAGCAGTTATGACTGTCATTCATTCTGTATGAGGACACAGGACATGTGCTTCTGAATTTGGCTTCCCACTGGCCAGGAGTGTGGGAAGTTGGGGGGTTGAGAAAGTAGAGAACATTCAAGTCTTCCTTGGGACAGGCTCAGGCCTTCCTGCATGCCTCATTTGGTCTTGTTTCTAGAGTGGTATGAATGACCTGTGTTTTAGGTATGCTTTAGGTAAGGAACCCAAGACAGGGAGGAGGGATGTGGCTAGCTCAAGGCTGCTCCCATGCCTAGCTATAAACTCTGAATCAACCATCCATGCCTGTGTGGATCCCTGTGTGGGATGGTGTTCTCTTGGGGCTTCTGTTTATGCCAGGTCTGTGCTTTGTAATGGGTTGTGAGCACGGGGCAGTGGGCTCAGATGGCTCCCAAAGCCCCTTCTTTGCCAAGCTACGTTTCCTTCTTACCTCATTTGCCTCCTTGTGAAAAACTTCTCCCTCTTCAGAGATCTCTTTCCATGTCTATTTCACACAACCCAATTTCTAAAATTTCCCCAATTTGCAGAGTTCTTTCCCTCTTCCCTTATTTTATTTTTAGTCTACTTATTTGTCCATTTATCCATTCTTTATTCCATGTGACTGGTATTTCATTGGCTAAATACTTTTTGGTCCCTGTTAGATATTAAGTCCCGAGAATATGGAATGGGAAGGCAGTGCCATGGCCTTTGACATCATTTTGTAGTCAGGAAGGCCCATCTCACTCACAGTGGCACAGGAATGGTAAGTGCTATAATAAAATGCATGAGCCTCATAGCACTAGTTTTGCTAGAGTTGAGGGGAAGGGTCAACGATGTAGGGGTTAGAGATTTGGAGGCAAAACTTCAAAATTATGTAGAAACATCAAAAAAGGAAAACTGAATCCATTCCAGGTAGCCCTGAAGGATATTTTTTTTTCCCCAGAGGAAGTATGGACTTCAGAATTCACAATGTGCTCAAAGTTTCTTCTCTGTATAGCTGCTGAAAGGGAGGGGGGAGAGAGAGAGAGAGAGAGAGAGAGAGAGAGAGAGAGAGAGAGAGAGGACAGAGACAACAGAGACAGGGAGACAGACAGACAGAGGGAGACAGAGAGACAGAGAGAGAAACACAGAGACAGAGACAGACAGAGGGAGATAGTGAGACAGAGAAACAGAGACAGACAGAGGGAGACAGTGAGACAGAGAGACAGAGACAGAGAGAAACACACACACACACACACACACACACACACACACACACACACACACACACACACAAACACAAACAACCTTCAATGTTTATCCACATAGCAGCCACAGAAGCCATAGACAGAGTCTGAAGAACATGTGGATCAGCTCTGTATCCTACCTCACTGGTGTCACTCTTCACAGGAGGCAGGATCAAGTCCCTACAAGGAGTGAAGCAAAGTATCCAGCTGCTTCCTTATCCACAGTATCCATAGTGTCAGCCCCTCAGGCCTGGCAATGAGATAGAAAGTCCCATGTTTTACATACTGTAATGCAGTATGCAATTACAGTGATCCTGTTCCTGTTCATGCCATTTCACACGAGGGCCATGTGCATTGGCCGAGTTCAGTATTTGTGGAGGGTTCTAGAACCAATCCCCCTAACAATAGCTCTAACCTCCATTAGTGGTCCTTCCCCTCAACTCTAGCAGAATTAATGCTGTGGATGCTGGCACACATCTATGCACGCAGAGTTCAGTGTTAGCCTTCATGCTGGTGTCCAGAGGTCTTGGAGTACGTCTCCCATAGACACACAGGACTCTGTCTTCCCAGGATAAGCCCAGCCTTACAGGTCCTGCTTCCAGAACCCCTGTGTGCCACAGGAAGAACAGTGGGGGCTCCAGATGACTGATACCCGATCTCTAAGGGCTCTGGATGCCAGGGGTTTAAATCTAAGCACCTGCAGGCATCTCACTAGAGGGGGCTTGTCTGTTCTTTAGCCTTGTTTGATCCAAGATGCCTGGACTGAGGCAATGTGACTTCACTTCCTCTACCTGTGTCTTCCCCAGTGTCTGGATGTCTGTTCTCACACCACCCTTCCCTCCTAGCATGGTGTCTCTACTCTTATGAGGACACTGATCCTGTGGATTAGGGCCCATTCCAATGACATCTCAGCTCATGACTTCTGCAAAGGCCCCCATTTCCAAATGAGGTCATGTTGATGGCAGCTAGGATGACAACATATCCTTTTGGGGAACACAGTTACGCCCCTGATGTCTATCCCCATTTCAGGGAGGCCAGAGGCCAGACTGAGCCAGAATCCCTCGGTGCCCTAGAGACATGCAGCCAGGACTCACTTTGGATGTTCCTGAGCTTGGAAAGTTCTGGATTCATTGTCATTGTGGTTATGGGAAGAAGGGAGGGGGCTTGGGGGAGGGGACTGGAGAGGGACAGAGAGAATGAGAGAAAGAGGGAGAGAGGGAAGGAGACTGAGATCTCATGGTTCACATTTAGAGATAATTCTGACAATAATTCCATGAGTCACAGTCAAGGTGAAACCAGCCAGTTAGATATTGTCCTCATAGAATGAATGACCTGACCTTGAACTGTTCCTGGAATAAGGTGGGTTCTTCCGTCTCCTGGGTCTAGTTCTAGATGGAATCAAAGAAGCCCTTGAGAAATCTGATCCTCAGGTTGTCAAGGAGACACCCTGATGCTCATAGGATCAAACCTACCAGTGAAAATTTAAAAATGTTACTAGGAAGCAGAGCACCGGCTTTTCTATCCAGACGGGACCCACCTACCCTGGGTAATGACGGCCTCTCTTAAAAGTCCCTTTGTCCAGGTGATGGGGTCTGAGAAGTCCTCAGACACGTGCAGTCTCTTTCCCAGTAGAGCCTCAATTCATTAAAACACAGGCCCCCTGCACCGTGCAGCCAGTCGCGAGAGCCGTTAGCAGTGAATTTGGCTGGAATTGACAGGAGCCCCGGGGGAGGGAGGCTTGCAGATGGAGGGGGAGGGGACCAAGGTCCACAGCGGCATCAGCGCCCGCATCAACATCGACTCCATAATTTTGTTCGGAGAGGTCCCTGAATATCTCCAAATCCCCTTCAAAACAACAAAGGGTGATGTCTGGGTCTGTGGATTAGAGAAATCCTGAAATAATTAGCTCACTTAGCAGGGCTTGTCCAAGCACCTGCTGCTGTGAGCAGGCCGTGTGGGGGAGGGGCAGCTCGGGGACCGGGGTGGGGGTGGGGAGACCCGCGGCAATTTCAGGCTTTTTGTAGCAATGACATACGGGCAGCTGGTCAGGCTCCTGTGCTGCTACCCCGGGGGCTGAGCAGAGTCCCAGGAGAGGAGTGGGGCCGTGGCCTCACGGGGTGTGTGTGTGTGTGTGTGTGTGTGTGTGTGTGTGTGTGTGTGTGTGTGTGTGTGCGTGCGCGCACACTCAGAACATGTTCCCTATATGAAGCTTCACGGCATATGCAGGTGATCCTGGGGACACAATGTGCCCAGGGTGGTGATGGAGACCCTGTGTGCACACGTGTGGCTCTTCCAGGTGACTGGCGACATAAAGACCCCTGTTAGTGCCTGTCCTAAAACAGAGTTTCCTGACCTCCACGTATGCCTGCTTCCTAGAGAATGGACACAGGTTACAGGGAGCTCCAGGGATGGAGTGTGTTAGGGACATATGACATATTTCAGGAGCTGCCCTGCAGGGCAGGGCCCTCGTGTGCTCACCTGTGTGGGGATGCTGGAGGCCTCCGCACCCCTGCAGGAAGGTGGCCTGGACCCCAGTCCTCCCTAACTCTGGCAGCAGGGTCCTGGCTCAGTTTTCCCTTTAGGGCGCTCTTCTCTATTTCATTTATTTATATTTTTATTAGCGTGCATGAAGTATATGACAATAGGCTTTATTACATTTTCATACATGTCTATACTTGGATCTTATCTTTTCTCTCCTCAGTCTTGCATATCCCCTTCCTCTTCCTAGATATTCTCCTTCCTGCTCACTCCACTGTGCATGTGTGTGTGTGTGTGTGTGTGCATCCATGCATGTGAATGTGCATGTGTGCACACGTGTGTATGTGTGTGCACACACATGTGTAGGTATAGGCATGTGTGTGCAGATGTGTGTGAGTGTATTCATGCGTGCATGTGTGTGTGATTGAGCACGCTCATGTGTATGTACCAGAATTTAATAAAATCTACTTACAGAGGCCCACGGCCTCACTGTAGCTGCTGTGAAGAACATGTCTCTTTGTCTCCAGCAGCCACGAACGGCTGAGGATGCTCTGCATGCACCCATGGCAGCCTTTCTGTTCACCCCCAGAGCACTGTGGCTGGGGAGACAAATGGCCAGTGGGGAGAAAGGGCTGTGATGTCATGGGCATGATGTCATGGGTATGATGATGTCATGGGTATGATGTCATGGGCATGGCTCTCAGGACAGAGAAGACGGGGTGGGGACGGGGCAAAGCAGGTAAAAGGCAAGTCCAGGGTGTCGGGAGGAAGAGGATAAGACAACATGATAGCACGGGGATGTGGTGGGTTCAGCTCTGAGACCCGTCAGGTCCGATGGGTCCTTGGCGGCTGATGGGAAGAGAGTGGCGTGGAGCAGGGGAGACTGTGTCATGCTTGCCCTGTGGTAGTTCTGGGTCTCAGCCTGGTGACCTGGTGATCACCGCGGCCCAGGTAGTCACGGGGGTCACTGCACGTGTGAATCGGTCTTTGCTTGGCATCTGGCCTGGACAGTGTGAGGACAGGGATGGTGACCTCCTGAGGTCATGCCCCCCCCCCCCCCCCCCCCCCCCCCGTCGTCCTTCTGGGATCTGTGGCCCTGACACGGACCACAGGGCAGAGACAATCACAGCCACTGCCTCTAGTCAGCGTGTGATGACGGATGTGCACACAAGTATTTGTGTTTTACATGTTTGCAGTATGCAATACCAAATGAATATGTGGTATGTGCCATGCCCATGTGTTTGTATGTCTCTGTGTGTTTTAAATGTGCATATATGTGCATGTAGGTACAAATATGTGGCCTGTATGTGTGTTGTGCATGTGTATGCATGTATTATGGATTATATCTGTGTGGTATCTGGTATTAATGGATGATATGATGTTGTGTATATGTTTTTCTATGTGTAATGTGTGCAATATAGCCTATGCACACATGTATGTGTATGACTATGGGTTGTACAGATGTGCCTAGTATGAGATATATGACATACTTATATGTACATATTTGTACATTGTATACATGCCTCTGTGATGTGTTGTATCCTTATATGTGGTATGCAAAGGTGTACATGGTGTGCATGTGTTTTATATGTGTGCACACATATCATGCATAATACAATACTTGGCCTAAGTGTGCATTACACACGTGCGAGTGTGTTTCATGCATGTGTTCGTGTTGTGATACACAGATATGACATATGCACCTGCTTGCATGTATAACTGCATTATGTGCGTTTCTGTGCACAGGTGTATGTACTGGTTGGACTCAGACACCGCAGTGTCCGGGTGAAGACTGGTGACCGCCGAGGTGCTTACTAGGGCTTTGCAGAGTCTGAGCTCACTGATGCTCACGCTCTGGCCTGGCTTCCGGTGTGGCCGTGGCAGGGGAACTGGTCGGTTTCCCGGGGTGGGACACAGTGTGCGTGTGGGTGCGCTGGCTGCTCTCTCAGGTGCGGCTAGGTCGGGAGCCCCGTCTGTCAGGCGGATGGCGCTCCGCCCATAAACTGTCAGCCGCAAATGCAAATGAAATTTCCGAACGGGCGCCTGGGGAGCCGGGGGCTTGGTCTCGCTGGTTTTATGGAAGGTTTACGAGAGACAGCAGAGCAGTGACCACGGGTTTGCAGAGGTGTCGGGACGGCGTGCCCTCCCTGTGTGTGCGCAGAGCCCGCCGCCCAAACCAGCCAGCAGCCCGCCTGCCTCACAGAGTTCGGCTTCCTTCTCCTGTTTTCGACTTCGATTTGTCCACACTGGCTGCACCCTTCCAGGGCGAGGGATCAGTCGCCTCCGGCACACGGAGGTTCCATTCTCCTCGGTTAACTGTGCTCGCTTCGGCGTGAAGCTGTAGATTGGGCCGCTGCTCCAGGTTTCTCCCAGACTGGAGTTTATAGAATCAGGTCACAGGCAGAAAAAGAATGGTCACAGCTCACAGACCGTCCTCCCGGGTAGGGACTAATGCTCGAATTAGGGACACAAGCCTCAGGGCTGGGAAGAGAGGCCCAGAGGCCTCGCCGCTCACCACAGATGAGACCCTGGGGAGCTACAGAACCTCTGGTCTTTGTAAAAATGGGCACAGTATTGTGGGCCTGGTGGGGTGTGTTAGAGACCACAGTGGGTCGGATGCAGGGAACTGGGAAGCAGGGAGAGGTCGGCCCCTGCAGTCATGCCCTAGCAAGGCCCTAGGTCTCTGCGGGGTCTCCCCGGGACTCCCCTCAAAGAGGAGAAACCTTCTCTTGGACATAAGACACCCTCTGACCCTGTGGGTGACCCTGGGGACTTTCTTAGGTGTCACTGCCCGTCCCTAAACTGCTCAGTGGTCATTCCCTCTTGACTACAGTAATCACGGTGCCACAGTAGTGCTGAAGCCACCATTCACAAAGCCCTCACCTGTGACCCCCGGGACGGTTGCTCTTTCAGGACTAAGGGCAGCTTCCAGCACATAGACCCAGTGGTTTCAGGCAACTTAAGACAATGCCAGTATCCTGACCTAAGTGAAGAGGGTAGGAAGATGCTAAGCAGGGCAGGTACCAGTGTTGGCCCTACTGGTCCTGATGTTATAAACTCAGATCAGCTGTCTGGGAAAGCCCCTCTTGGGAAGATAAGATTGGACATTTGGAATTATTAAACGAAGTCTGTGGTACTAGCTTAGCGTGTGAAAGATCCTTAACTGGAGGCAGACTTCAATTTCACCTCTCAGTTGACCTCCTGGTGATCATCAGAGGGTTCTTGATTGTCCCCAGTTCAAAGGCATTTTGGGGCAACACTCATGGCTTTGTCCTTTGTGTTCTTACCTCCCCTTGTTTCTGAAGGGTGGTGTAGGGATCTCTGTACTAGTGTGGTCCCTGGTGGGAGAAGAGACAGCGGTGTGGATGGAGCAGCAGCTGGGTGCACACTGTGGATGCACAAAGGTCAGACTCAGATTTTAGGTGAGCCTCCAGAGTTTGAGGTACCTTGGGTTTGCCTGTGAAATGTGGCCCTTTGAATGCCCTGTCCAGTAGAGAACTTTCCTCAGTTCATTGGACCCTGAGAGATTCCACATAGAATCTTTACATTTTAGTGTGGGGAAGAGAGGAGAAAACACTGAATTCTCTTCATCATGTTCCAGAGAGAGCAGAATTGAAGTAGAGACCTCGGCTGTGGCCGAGGAGACATGTGGGCTCCAGAAGGGCTGCAAGGGTGACACGTGTCTATAGGGCCTTCACCAGGAGGAGCAGGAGGGAGCCAAGTTCAGGCTTTCTGTGTGTAACTGGGCCAGACAGACACAGAGACTGACCATTTTTTGCTGGGTGGGCTATGGGACAGTCTGGCTTTGAAGAAGTAAAGGATGTCTGAACCATATGAGTTCACTGAAACCTGGAAGAGACACCTGACCTCTTGTGCATCACATTCACTGATGCCTAGAAGATTCACCTTGGCCATTTCAGGGAAGAAACAAGAGTTGACACAATTCTATTCCTCCATTTTTCTTTTCTTTGCTGGACAATGACAGGCGAGTCTTCTCTGAGCTTTGGTTTTATCACCTTGAAGCAGTGGAAGTCACACTTGCTCCTCCCTTGGTGATTTGAACTGAAGATCAGCGAGCTGGTGACAGCACCCATGACTTCATTCAAACACTGTGCAGATGGAGGCATGTGCCTTAGCTTAGGAGTCCATTTTCTCACATAATCAAGGACTTGGCCTTTGAGATACCCTGTCAGCCTGGGCTCAGAATTCCTGACTATGAATAAGCCTAACCTGTAGTCCATATACACATAAATATATGGTTAAACACAGGTGCATAAATTTATATCTAAGCTATCATGCACAGCCATAATGATACACACACACATAATATGGGTGCACACATGTATGCAAATACATATATTCATACCATAAATATAATGAAAGCTAAATGCACAAATGTATCATGTTTTACACATAGACACACATGTGAATGTTGGGAAAGTTTTCTTCTATGATCTTGT